CGTGGGCCGCCTGATAAGGAGATGGAGTTCTGCAGATGGCAGGACACCACTGGGAAGTGGAAGCAGGGCCTGTCATCCCAGCAGATGTGCTTTGTCGAAAGGAGCTGCAGGAACAGCGGGAGGCAGGCTGAGGTGTGGGCAGAGGGCCGGCTGTCTGGGCAAGGCAGGGGGAACAAGGGGGCCTGAGCTGGCGCTGGGCCAGGACAGTCCTTCTTGGCTCACCAGGAGGCCACTGCCCGGAGCTTGACCATCATCTCAGCTCCATACGGTCGCAGAGAGGCAGCAACGCCAGAGCTCACTTTGTAACCATTTCTGCCCATTTCCATGACCTTGATGGTTTCCCTGTTAAGTGGCATCATGAAAACATGGAGCGTAGCGTCTTCTGCAGTGTCTCTGCGTGTGATGCCCACTGAAGTGTTAACTTATAATGAATGTAGAAGATTTCTACCTGTATTGAAACTCCCCTTTAAGAAGGAAGGACTAGGGTCCCTGTTGCCTTTATCACAGACTCCTAGCAGGGGCCTGACACAGGTATGTCAAACGAACAGGTGGGGCAGTCCAGGCGTTCCTGAGCTGGACTTGAGATGTCCTGAGGATATAGGAAGCCCCCTCTAAAATAACAGGCTTTGACCAGGCGCAGTGGCTCACACCTGTAATCCCAGTACTTTGGGGCTGAGGCAGGTGGTGGATCACCTGAGATCAAGTTCAGATCTTCAGCCAACATGGTGAAACCCTGTCTCTACTAAAAATACAAAAATTAACTGGGTGTGGTGGTGCACGCCTGTAATCCCAGCCTCTCAGGAGGCTGATACAGGAGGATCACTTGAACTTGGGAGGCAGAGGTTGCAGTGAACCGAGATCGCACCATAGCACCGTAGCCTGGGTGACAAGAGCAAAACTCCATCTCAAAAAATATATATATATAAACATAAATATAAATATAAAATAAAATAACAGGCACTGATGGAGGGACTCTGTCACTTTGCTCAATATTGGCTCACAAGAATCATTAACAACAACAACAACAGAATTCTCAGAGCAGGACCGTAGGCAACAACACTTGATCCAAAACATGCAGAGTCAGACCTATCAGCAACTGCCTAAGGCAGCTTGGGAGGAGCCCCAAATCCTTCTTTAGAGGAGAAAAGAAGTAAATTTATTCACCTGGAGGAGCACAGGAAATACTCTACATCATAACAATTATTCCAAACTCTATACTACATGAAACCAAGCCAGTGTATGTCACCATATGCCCTGCCACTCCCGGCGAGGAATTTCTGGATCATAGACATCCAGAGGCTATTATCATCCACACTGAGCCTCTGGCCAACACCACTGAAATGTGCACACAGCCTCAGGGAGACGGTGCATTCTCAGCCTGGCTCACATGCACTGGGCCAAGTCCACCTGAGGCTGACTGTGTGTGCTGGGCAGAGTAGGTCCAGCGGAGGACACACAGGGCTCGGTCTGTGCTATACCACCACTAGGAAGCCTGTAGAACCAGCCTTCAGTCATACAAACTGGGAGGCCTGTGGCTGTGCCCTGAGCTCCTTCTCTTAGCTGATGCACGTGACCATGAGGCAGAAGAATGAAGCCCACCTCAAGCCCTGGCTAGAGAGAGCTGAGCTTCGGCTAGGCAGGACAGCTGGCCAGTCAAAACAAAAGCACAACACCCAGATATCTCTCCAAGACTAGAAAGCAACACTGAGAACAAGTAAGCTGCCATTTTTCTGAACTACATTTGCTCTCTCAAACTTGTCCGTACATCCCAAAACTGAGCCAGCAGCTGAGGTTCCAGCACTGTCATCCAAGAGAACTGTCAGGTAAATCAGGCCTGCTTAATTATGTTCAGAACTGCCTGGCCACCCATATCAGCTGGAACATTTATCAGGACTCCACAGTAAAAAAAGAAAAAAAGAAAAAGAAAGCACAAAGTCCAATCTCCTTAGCCTAATATACGAGTTCCAAAACTCACTCGTCAGCTTCATCTCATTTTCCATCCTTTTCTCCCAAAACATTCTCTACGCAGACTGAACTTCTGCGAAGTACCCAAATATGCTTGGCTGGCTCCCCAGTGCCTTTGCCATGCTGACTCAGACCTCTTCTGTCACAGGAAGGCCTGCCGTCTTCCCAGGCACGCTGCAAAGGCACCTTTTTTCTGAAGCCTTCTCTGATCCTCTAGGCACACATGTCTCTCCCCTGCTTACGTGGGCTGCCCTTCTTCCCCCTTAACACTGGGCACCTGAGTGTTTTTGTATCTTTTCTGTTTCCCACCTAAACTATAGCCTCTAGATGGCAGGGGCACAGCCTCAGTCACCTTTATACTCTCAGGACCTTTCACTGAGTGCATACAACAGAATGGTCTGTATACACCATATACAAAGGAATACGATTCCACAAAAAGGAATAAAGTTCTGATGCTCACTATGACATGGAAGAACCTCAAAAAACAGCCAAGTGAAAGACGCCAGGCACAAAAGGCTACATAGCATCTGATTCCATGTCTACGAAATACCCAGAACAGGAGACTGCAGAGACAGAAAGCAGACTAGGGGTCACCAGGGGCTAGGGGAAGGGGAATGGGGAATGACTGCTTAATGGAGATGAGATTTCCCTTTGGGGTGAGGAAAATGTTCTGGAACAAGATAGAGGTGATGGCTGCGCAAGACTGTAAATGCACCAAATGCTACCAAACTATTCATTTTAAAAACGGTTCATTTTACGTTCTGTGAATTACACCTCAAAATGGTTAAAATGGTAAATTTTACATTATGTCTGTTTTGCCACACACACACACACACACACTCACACTCACACACGAAGGTGTGCTTGCTAGAATGTTTCCAGGTAAGTTCTCCTTTGGAAATCCCCCCCCCCCCGCGTCTGCTCTCCTGTCAATATCCTTTGCTCATCCCTTCTCACACCATCCCAGCGCCCCTCCTAGAAAGCCTCTCCAAGCAGTAAAAGCTCACAGGAGAAGATTTACAAACCAAAACAAATGCAAAATCAGAGTCCTACTCTTGTCTCAGAGATGAGATTCAGTGGGCGTGGGGCATCCGTACCACCAAGCCCTGGGAAGGATAAAGCCTATTAACGAAGCCACGGGCATCTGCCCAGGTCCACAGCAAGGTGGCCCTGTGAAGTGAGCAGCTCTTACGTGTTACGAGCTGCCCTTTAGACTATCAGCTGGGAAGCCTAGCTCAAACGGCCACATTTACCCAAACATACACAGTCGTGAAGTGCCAGGCTGGCAGAGAGCCACTGGGGCCTCTCAGCTTCTCTTCTGCCAGGTACTTGCCCTGTCCAGAAACCAGTGGGTCCACCTAGAAGTTCTCCTGCCACCTGGACCTGCCTGGGAGGGCAGTGGGGTCATAACGATAGATATCCCCTGTCTCCAATCACCACTGCCCAGTCTCTGGATAAGAGCTGCAATCAAGCCCAAGGACGGGTGCCAGGCACCAAAAACCCCACTGTCCCGAGATCTGAGATGGGGGACTCAGATCTTGGGTGCCAGCAACTGACAATGTAGGAATCAGCTCTGAAGACACAAGTCTGGGTCGACTGCACAGTGGGGACATGAGGAGTCATGGAACTGGCTTAGAAAAGAGCCTCAAAATCACTCGGGTTGGGGGCACCATGCACCTTCACACCCTGCAGCCACCCTGCACTTCACCAACCAAAGGACAGAAAGTAAGCCAAGGGGAAGCCATGCTTCATATCCTGGTAGTAAAATGACAATGACAGAGCCACTGAGGGAAGCCAGAATGAAAATGAGAGAGAATGAAAAATAGATTCCCAGCTGGGACCCCATTGAAGAAAGCTGACGAAGAGACAGCCAAGATTAAAGTGCAGAGAACAGATCTAGAACAGGATTCCTACACCTTGGCACCACTGACATTTGGGGTCGTCTCATTGTCTGTTGTGGGGGGCAGGCTGTCCTGTGCGTTGTAGGGTGTTTAGCAGCATCCCTGGTCTCCAACCACTGAATGCCAGCAGCACCTCTCCCAGGCACAGTCATTGAAAATGCCTCCAGACAATGCCAAGTGTTCCTGAGGGATAAAATCACCCAGGATGAGAACCACTGCTCTAGATAGTTCTACAAAGGAGGCTGGCATGGCCAAAGACCCATTGTTTTTGCTATGGTCTCTATACCATTTCCTCCCTTCACACACACACACACACACACACACACACACACACACACACACACAC